CACCTAGTGGATTAGGTCATTGTGCTTTAAACATATCTCTGTAATGGGATGATCACAAAAGCGACACGTGAAGTCGAACACATTCAGTGCGTGTCGAAATATGCGTCATACTCGGAAAACTGCCACGTCATGGACTAAAATGGAACTCACTCAAGTTGGACGTGAGAAAGCTGAAGAACGATGAGATTTTTGCGAGGCGCTGATGCAAAGGCTGGTAGATGACCAAATCTCAAACATATCCGAAAGCCTAGTGGGCCCGGATAAGATCAGATATCCAATCAGCCGCTGTGGATATCATTGAACTAAAGCAAGAACAGAAGCGAGATCGCTTCGGGGACAAGAACTCGTTAACATCTATCCAGATTCCGGAGAAGAATTTGACGTTTCTTATAATAGTAACGATCCGGAAGACACTCATGCCGGAAAGCAACTCTTGAGCGCCAGAACCAAGCTTCTGAAACACCTGTAGAAAACAGACAAATGAATGTTAGTGTAGAACTCCACTCGTACGCGGATCTCAGTTGTCACAAAGAATTCTTTTCTGGACCGAAAGAAATCTATGGACTGAAATTCCAATATCTTCAGCTGCAAGGATGCAAACAAACCGGTGAGAACTTAACAAGCCAGACGAACTTCGGATAGCCTGAAAGCATTACTTTTCATCACTACTCAACCAGACAGGTGATGTTGATTTGAACTACGTGGTCTGCCTCCCCCAACATACTGTGGAGAACCAATTGGCTCACTTGCATACAATTGTAGAGCTGCTGAGGGATTTGACGGTTTGCTCGCGGGACTTTTCAGGCTCAGCGGACCGGTACTGAAGAACCGGCATCTCCACCTGCTACACAGAATTTGGGGGCTAGATGATGTTCTCAAGATTTCGAGGTTGCAACGATAACTCCTCCAAATAAAGGAAAGGGTAATCGATTGAAGTCGGACAACTACCGCGGAATGAGTCTCATGCGAACATCAGGCAAGACCGTGGTCCACACCCTGCTAACTCGACTAGTCACTGGGAGTTGAAAGAAGTCTGATGCGAAGCCGGCTCCGATGGTTACGTGATTTTAAACGAATAGCTGAAACTCGTATCCTAATCCAACCTGTTCACAGTCAGCTAAAGAACGGACTTCAAACTTGTGGACGCCAAAATTCCGCTATTGGGACAGCCTGCGAGTAAATCTGAAACGCAGGAAATCTTCGGGTCACTGGTGGACCTGGCACTCGATAGAACGTCACGGAGAGTAGTTGTCCAATCAAGCATGAGAAGCTTTGACATATGACGTGTTGTAATGCTGGAGAACAAGCGTGTTATTCGAAGGAGCTGATTCTACCCCGTGTAACCTCGAAGATGTGGACTTGCGAAACATGAAGACGCACACATCTTAACAAGATCGGTTTTGTGTCACTAGAGTCGTCATCGGTTCGCCTGATAAAGATAACCACCTGAAACCCAGGTAGGTTTGTTGCTTTTTCTAATGACTACCTACACGACATCTAAAGGACGATAATATCATCAACCTCAGGGCTAATGGAATATCTTCAGGTTATCCATTACTCCCTTTAGAATGCTGCTCCTGGCAACACTTGTATGGCACTATACTCTGAGGGGCGTTTGCATGCCACCGAAACTTAAACGAAATGACGGATGACGCCGGTTCCACAATGATAAACAGATAAATGTTGCTGAAGCGCACTGTTATGCCGTCATGTTTAGACCGGTTGACGGCTTGCGACAGGCCCCCGCAAATTCGTCTGCCGATCTTATTCTCCCAGGCTTACACTGGTACCAGGGTTTTGTACACAGAATCACATATGGCAGACCGTTTGCGCGGGCGCACCGTGGCTTGACCATAGTTGACTGGTAAATCCTATTCGAATTCTAGTCATTTATATACATGGTGTGAGCATATGTATATGTATACTTGTGCGTGGATGTGTATGCATACACATTCTCACGTACTTGTGGAAGGACGTGACAGCCAAAGTCTGGCTTTTACAATGCTATCATACCGGTATATGAGGATAATATAGCAACCTGAGGAAATTCCTTGGATTATCCGTTTAGCCTGTGAAGGTAAAGATCAAGGTTCAATATCACTTATTTTCGAATGCTAATCGATAAAAAGGCAGCCATGTTTCAGCCTTCTAAGACTGAACAGACAAATATTTATGTACAATATTCTATCTGTGATGGTGAAAATAAACCAGGGAGAAAAGTGGACGCGTGAACAGGTTTCATATATAAGTTCGCTCAAAAGCTGATTTCGGCCAAAAGAGAAGACAGTCATTTGATTCCATCTCTCTTAGACAGCCCCATCGGTTCATTAACTGACGTGTTCCACCAGCTATTCCTTACCACAGTTTCAAAGACAATCTTTAAAGGGAGGGTTTACTGCAACTCATTCCGCTTGATCTAAGCAAGTTGGAAAGAAAGAAAATTGTTCTCAGAGGTGTATTTAGATCAATAAGCTAACTCGTTTAGCTCGTAAGGTGAAAAAGGAATTTTAGCGCAAACGCCATCATTTCTCACTAAGGTGGAGAGTCGAATATGACACATGATTCGTTCGGTGAACCAGGAGCAAACATGGTATTCCCAACTTCCCGTGTGAATGCAGCTTCTCAGCAGTAAGAAGCAGTGTTAAAAATAAATGGCAAATCTTTGTAATGTATTACTAATAAGGTTGCTGAAAATCCGTGGACAGCCCACGACCGGTTTCGCCCTTTTTGGGGCTCATCAGGTAACCGCAGTTTCCGGGTTTCCATCAACCTTATGTTCTACTTAAAACCAAATGGCACGGAGTTAGCGAATATACACTCATTTGCAAACTGACTTGGTTTTTCGAAAGACCCACCTGGAACCCAGCTGAATCTCTCGTTTGTGACGTCTTGTGCCACTCAACATGATCTCTGGATTGTAATTTGTCACACTTTGTTTTCCCAATTTATTGTTGACATTCTGAGAGAACCTTCTTAGGTGTCGACGGATTTCCAGCAACCTTATGAGTAGTACATTACAAAGATATACATGTATCGCGATATCTCGAATATCGTAGCGACTGAAACATGAGGCGGCCTGGCGCAGCACATTCAGTTGCCTGGAAACATCACAAACGAGAGATTCAGCTAGGTTACAGGTGAGTCTCTCGAATTAGTTTACAAATGAGTGTATATTCGCTAAATGGCAAATCATCTCGTCAGTGGGAAAGAAAGACTAAGAAACACTATGTTGCTTCTGAGAAACAAAGTTTTTACTGAATTGATGCGTTCAAGAAATAAATGACATTTGTAGTGCTTCTTGGCACCACAGTATGACATTTGAAAGTAACTGACCAGTGTCAGTGGTCACCAACAGAAGAATACAAGCGAATAAAGTTTGTTGAGTTTGAGAAGCGAAACATGAAACGAATGACGTTTCCTAGTGAGCTTACTGAATAATTCAAATGAGACTGTGCAGTTTGTTAATCGCACCATGGCAACATCCACAAACGGACCTTCTTCATTTGCTGAAGCTCTGCTTTCCACGCCAGTTCTTCAAAACTCCTGATAAGCTTCCAAACAGTGCAGAAATACTCAGCAGAATGTAGAAGAAGCTGTTTGCTCTAGGTGTAGCTGTACAGACAGAAATAAAACTTTTAAAAGTACTCAGATCATAAACCAGCGATTCAACTGGGTTCCAGCGAGTATCATGTTAAAAGCCAAATTGGTATACAGGTGAGTGGAGATCGCTAATTTCGTGAAATTTGAGTTCAAGTAGAACATAAGGTTGATGGAAACTCGGGAACCGCGCATAAATGATAAGCTATGGCCTGTAGAAGGGTTTTCAGCAACTTTATGAGTGGTGCATCACGTAAGTACTGACGGAAAACTTACCTGAATCTTAGATGAATCTCTCGTCTATGCGACTGTTGAATTGAATATGCTCCAAAATGGGGGCTTTATGTTTCATTTGGTACGAAAGTCGAGATATCGCAGTATATTTTCATAAAGGAAACTATCCATTAGGCTACCGGAAACTTTCCGATAGCCCACGATCCATTTCGCCCTCCTAGGGCCCCAACAAGTAGACCAAGTCTTAAATTTTTCATCAACCTTATGTTCTACCTGAAGCTAAATAGAATGAAGGTGTCTATCCTCACATGCCAATGTGTTTTGAACCGAAGGCTACCTCCTGTTTATGATAGTCTCCAACTGAATGTGCTACACATTGGCCACCTTATGTTTCATTTGGTTTCAGCTGGAAAATATCAGAAGCCAGAGATTCATCTCGAAATCAGTTGTATTTCCCTTTGAAACCAAGTTATTACACAAATAACTGTAGTTCACAAACATTTTTACATCTCTAATGTGGTCATTCGGACCGGCACTTACTTTGGAGTTACCATGCAACCGGTGTTGCGTTTATGCAATTTTAAATAAAGAAATTTTGTTCTGGACTAGCTTCGCGGTCATTGGTTAATTTGGGTGACTAAAGGACGGTGTTGGTTGTAAATGAGAAAACAACAAACTTCTAGTGAAACTTAACATGCTATTGCTTCAGTGTGATAGAAGCGTTGCCGAAGCTTTTTGCTGGAAATTTCCTGATTGTGAAAGATGACAGAAAACAGACAACACAGAGGATTTCGCCCTGTCTATCCGCAATGAGCATGAACCGATGTGTTTTTTTGGTACCACAATTCTCGAGTCAAGATTTTGTTGGGAGAAACTGCGACGGGATGATTTATAATCCTCAATTTTTTCCAGGTGAAATTCAGTTTGACACAAAAATATGCTCCAGTTACAACGAGGTCAGTGCACTCTTGTTGGAATAGTAAATTTTAATGTCGTTTCAATGTTAAGCGCCTTGCTACGGAAAGCATTCACATCTGCTGTGTAGAACTGATTTGGCAGGACTTTTGCTTAGTGTTCGAATTCCCTATTTTGTCGCATGTTTATTCGTGCATCATGATTAGTTCCTGAGGGGGACTCTTCACAACAAAGTGATTCTATTTTCTGTACAGGATTCACTTCATGGGTTCTCTCAAATGTCCTCCAGAGTGTGCGTATTCAAGCCTTTGTCTATGGCTTACATCGGAGCAGCCTATCTAGACTCGTCCGCGTTGATGAGACCTGCTCGTCCACAAAGCATCACCTGCATGCTGGTGGCTTCTGCTTTGTCCCAAATCCCAGACAGCAAGCTTTGATTTCTCGATCAGTTGTCTTAAACTGCCACTTTTAAATTTAATAAAGCCACTGATCACTCCTATGCCAGTTATATTTGGAAGATTAAAAAAGAACCATATTCAGGCTACCACACCTGGCGAGTAATCCAATCATACCCGGCCTTTCTTCCAAAAATTCATCTTTAATACATTGCTGTTAAGGTCAGTGTGAAGTCGATGGTATCATTAATCCCTTGGATGTGAAAAACTGGGACGCGTTCAAATGCTGCCGAGAGTATGCCTGGTCGAACTAGGCTGGACAACAAGTTTCCACGGCACCTGTTCCAGGAAAATGGGCGGCAACTACCTGGGAATTCTCCCTACTCTAATAATCAAATCCCATTAAGGTTTAAAGTTCTGATTTAGTGAGATTTAATATTTCAGAGGGTCAGTAGGGGTGAAACGGAACACGAAGCACGCAGTACAATTAATTTGCCTGATGTAATGATGTTGATGTGATTGTAATCTTTCTGAAATGTGTATCAACTTAAATTTCATCCTTTTCTTAGAAAATACTTAGCAAGCTGGAAAACGCTTGGAACCGATTGAAAAATCACCATAGATAAATGTATAAATTTTTCCCCAGACCTAGCAAGTTATTCTTATGAAGTGGCTGGCGCGGAACGTCCCACACTTGGCGCTTCCGACTTACGCCGAAGCCCATTAGCCGCACAATGCTCTTAGCTGCAAAACATTTAGAAGGGAATAAAACTTTTCCCGCCAAAATGTTGCATTTTGTTGCATACGTGCTCAAACCAAAAACCATCCTAATCTACGTCCATATTTTAGCGGCTCACCAAATTTCATTGTCCACTGAAGCAGTCATACATCTGGCGGCTTAAGTCTGGTAGAGTACTTTCCCAGCATCGCTGAGGCCCCATGATGCCTAGATGGGGTTCAAAGGTTTGTACTAGTACTCTGAACGCAACTGCCTGCCTGCTTTGGACACACGTCGTGGCTTTCCAAAAAACAATTCCGTTGTGCGAGTACTGAGCGTCGTGTAGAGAGTGCACAAAGTGGAAGCTGCATGCCGCAGCCCATGTGGCAGCACTCTTCTCTTGTGCCCTCGGAGCCCTGCCTCCCAAATGCCCTCAACAGGTCAGGAAAGCCCTCCGCCCTCGTAGGTACACATCCCCTTTCGCATTCCGCTCCATTTGACATGCAGGCTAGCGTGCTGTCAAACACGAACACAAACACGCAAGCAAACACACAACCAAAACACAGCGGAGCCAACCACTCCCGTCTGTCTGTCTGTCGCTCGTGTGAATCAGTGTTAAATTTGCGAGGTTGTAGGATAGACAGACCTACGTATACGAAGCAAGCTGCTTACGCCACTACAATAGCCGTGCCATGTCTAGCGTTGTCCGTTGTCTGAGTCTGCGTGCCTGCGCAGTGACGTTGACCGTGGCACGCGCATGCCTGGCTCTCAGTATATAGGCTTTTCTGAGAAGCCGCGCAACTCCGAAACGCCGTGTTTCACCTTTCGATCCACCCAGACGCACAACCTATACAACGTGGCCTGTAGCTGATCTCGGCTAGCTCCGCTTATGGTCTCACGCGCTACGTCCCATCCGTCCACAATTCATTGTGAATTATTTCATCACTTGCCGTGGATCCTTTTAAATCATTCTTCGTAATGTCAACTACGGTTGTCGGGCATCGACCTACCTCCCACCGCCCTTTTCGGAATCTAGTTCCAGTCAGCTATCCACCCCGTATTGCAGGTCAGATGGACCCCAGCGGGTTACACGAAGAGGCGCTATTAGCCATTGCAATTAACCCAGGCATTACAGGTATGAGCTGCACGAAGCCGTTTTTCCTTCCTTCTCGCAATTCTGGTGATGGAAACCATGGGCCCGTGGAAAAAGGTCTCGGATATGGGGCATTTGGAGTTGTGTGGTAAGTCATCGTAATCCAAGAATCTGGATAAACAGCGCGAGCGTTCTTGTGGGTGTCATCTGGATGGCACACTAGTTGTGGATAAACCATGCTAATGTTTTATTGTTTTTGGGTATGGCAGTAAAGTTCCGGTGTTGGACACGCGTGTTACTATCGGTGTTAATGATGACGAAAGGGTATCCTAGATGGTTTGGTTGGGAGGAACGCACGCGCATGCTAACTTTCAACTTTTCAGCCCAGCATAACATGGAGGGTTGACAGCACAAAAGCAGCTCTCCCACAAACGGTAGTTTTTTACCGGGTAAAATACTGCAGAAATTAGTTCCTCACTCGAGTGACTTTTCTCTGTATAGTTGCTCGACTTTCCTGTGGCCCACACCATCTGGCCAACTTTTGGAGGGAAATGTCGGTAAATAATCTGACAGAGATAGCAACTTCTCTCCAAAATGTGGCACTTTGCTTTGCATCTTCACATCCACCACTGAGGTAAGAGAATCGCAAGATGGGACCAGCAGCCGATTTCAAGGTACTCGGGAGGGTTGGAATCCACGTCATCTAAACGTGGACCCATGATTCTATCCATCGAGCCATTCGGGTCCAAGGATGGTTACTAATACTTTTCTCACCACCGGGTTCGTCACGTAGCCCGTTCTAGTGTATTTCCACCAAAGGAGTGATGAGTTGGCCAGTTCACTCCAGCACAGTTTGTGTTATGGTTGTGGTCTGTTTTGTTCTCCTAGCATATATGTCGGTAAAACGATGGGATCACGTTGGAAGTTGCAACACAGTTTGGTCATATCCGTAGTCAACGCCAGAAGCGAGTAAGAAAATTGTGAGTTGCACACACTACGATAGAGTTTTGCATACCTCACCGCCACAATCACTGCGGATACTGGATAGTGTCGAGACCGTGACCCATTCACCTAGCCAAATCACCTACTCATTGTTGTCTTCGTCATCAGTGGCAGCCACAGCGAACGAGAACACTGGTACGTCACTACCGTACACCCATGCCCACTGCTCACTATACATCGGATTGTGAGCGCAAAGGCTGATTTTCCTTTCTGACCAGCCCGTCCTTATAAATGTCACAAACTTCATGGCCCGTCATCTCACAAGAAATTCATAGAACAGCGTCTGTTCGATTTGCTTTGATCGATACTGGTTGTAAAGCAAGCTTCAGCTGAACTGTCTTTCATCCCAGTAAAAGCAACTACTTGAGGCACCGCAGTCCAAGGCTATTGGGCAGCATTTGCCTTTGAACCACACAAGTTCGCACAAAGGCTTCAGGTTAGTGGTGCAATCAGACGCGTAATTCGACCAGGACTGGGGACGCTATCACTACGAAATTCATATAATACTCTAGGATTGGGTTTGAAGCCCACCGTAATAGATAGCCGTGATAACCAAAGATAGAAATTAGTATCCTCGGGAGTTTTTAATGCATTGCAAGGTTGTCCAAACATAAGATTCTGGAATCTTAAAAGTGCGGTCCTTCCGGAACTGGTCTTCAATTATGGGAACTTTCGTACCACTAGTTTGTCACGTGTCTCCTAAATATCCTTCGTGCTCCCAGACTGTGACAGTTCCGCAGTGGCTTTGGTTTTTTTATCTATTTGTCTGAGTACTATGCATAATAGCCATAGTGAGAAACTCGTTCGGTGAGTATCCCCCATGAAGAACGGCCACTCAAAGCCCACAGACCATCCATGGGCCACGAAGCACCATATTAAACCATTTTCCCCGATCGATCTCCCGCAATAGGAACTACAGTTCTATAGAACAACACAGTTCTCGCTCATCCAGGCTACCAACGTAACCGATTGGAGTCATTTCCTGTTTACATTGTGCACTCTCTTGGCGTTGTATCGCCGATGACTGATTCGCTTGTCAGTGCTGCGATGGCATGCCACTATCAAATAGCACGGACTCATCGATTGAGATAGTGTACCCTGGATTTTGGAGCGTTTTTTCAAAGTCGTCACTGGAGTCCCTGTGCCCTCCATATAAAAAAACCAACCCGATGAGGAATGGCTGTGCACATTTTTTAAAGCGGATCACTACTTGGCAAACCGAAGTGCATGTGCACAGATCAAATTTCTCACCGTGTTTTCATACTTGTGATGCCCGTATCGCAACCCCCCGTGTGTGAGCACGGATGGCATCCTAGACCCATCGTACTCACATACTGATTCTGCCGGTGGTTCGGGCTAAGTTGTTCAGCCCCTCCCCGCCTTCCACTTACTTTCAAAGCATGTGCCTGTATTGATTTATTCAACCGGTGTGCATACTTCTTTTCGTTCGTCTAGTGAGTAGCTAATTTGTGGTGTAATTGAGCATCTCCGTGCCCGATCGAGAGGGTTGCGTATATGCCCGTCTATCCTAAGCGCACACGCAGAGTAATAGTTCGGTTTAACATTACATCTCCCATTAGACTCTTAACGTCGTCGCACAAGAATCCCATATGTCCTGGGGGAGGGAATATTGTGTGACGCATTGGTTTCATAACGCAGTTTGGAGATCTCTTCACGTAGAGTGATTGTTAGATTTATCTTGATTGCTATCGAACCATCTTGAGAGTTTTGTCAGAATGGTTTACCATGGCAACTACTTCTTCAGACTTGATAGGAGTAGTTAGCCTTGTGAAATGCATTTCTCACGAAAAATTTCATGGCCTTTTTGACCTCGTCAGGCGGCCATCATAATCAGTCCACAAAGGTATTGTACGGAAGCAGTTACTGTCAAACTGATTTGCCCTTTATTGCGACAGTCGATCCTAAAATTCAAAACAATGATGAAGCTAACGCAGGACGCACACACCGACTACCTGCAGAGGAACCAGTCATTTCGTCAGCATGTAGTTTATCTCCGTTTCACAGGAAGTCCGCTGTAGGTCTGTGAGTCGTTCATGGTCTCTGTCTTACCATCAATGCCCCGATAAAGTCTTGGCTGGGGTGTTGCGGAAGTATGGTGTGACAATGGGTATGACATCACTGTGAATGATTCTTTCAAGAACTGACAAAAACGGCTCATTAATTCGTTCATCATGTTGGTACGATCAGATCACATCTTCCTGTCCGGGCTACATTTACCTATGGGTCGACTATCAGACAGAAGCAGCTTCCCGGTTACCGCTTGTGTGGTAGCCACCATCATCACAAGTGTGATAGTGACAACAACTCAGAGTACTACAACAACCGACGCTTTGTAAAGAGGGGCCTATTGGAAACTTTCAGTGACTGAAAAAAGGACATTCTGCACAGAGATCGTTGGAACTCTGCGTCATAGGTTCACCGGGATACGAAAAGAACCAAGGGCTTGTTTGTATAAATAATGTTGCCGTAATACGACTGCTGACGACCATTGTGACCATTACGAGTATTTATTTCGTGAGCCTTGCTATATCTAAGTCATAGTCAAACAAAGTTCATCCGTTTACCAAATCAGTCTGAGAATTCCGTTATTCTTGTATTCCATTTATGTTTGACTAACCTGAAGGTTAGGCGCTGTGCGCGGCAGCATCCATCAGCTTTCTTTTGCGAATGTGAGGTCAATATAACTATGGAAAACTTAACAAAAGAAAGTTTCTAGGAAATCCTTCTCTGACGCAACCTTATACCAAAGTTTTTGGTTCAAACCCAACTCTGGTCTTTCAGTTGTTCCTGTCTAGACACGGAGAAATTGGCTTTGTCCCTGTTTTCTTGTTTCCTTTTACTGGGTTGTACGACGTGATCCGCGGACGATGTGATTTTTCATCTCATAACAGCTTTCAGAAGCAGTGAAAAGTGCATTCGATTAATCAGGGAAATGCCAGGAAATGTCTGATTTATGGTTTTGTTGTACTGAAACGATGCTTTGCACCATCTGAATTGCTATTCGACTGATGTGCAACATCGGGGAAGACCGCCTAGACATACGGTCACGTTTGATCAATAGGGTGGAATTCATTCTGGATTTGCGATGCAAGGTGTATTCCCATTGAAAATAACTGAGCATAGCCTATTCCAGCCCACACAACGATAAGTGTATAGCCCAGTTTAGTATGTTACAACCAATTAATTATTAGTATCGGTGAGGAGAGTTGGGTTCGAGAAGCCGGATTTTGGACTCGCGTACGATGAAGTCAATGAAAAAGTGTCTAGTCAGATGACCGCGTTTCATTAGGCAGATTATGGATCGTGTGGTCAGGTTACATTGTCTTTCCCAAGACCAGAAGTACATGGGAGGTCACAACGAGCAGTGAACAGTGACAAACTTGAGACAATATTCTAGGAAACAGCAAGTTTTCACAGTCTGGGTGAGAAAGCCTTCTTCCCATGATTTACTATCAAATGCCATCTTTGCACAGAGTCCTTGTGCCCTAGTTAAACACACTTAAATATCATGTGTGTATTGTGATATATTGCGTGAGGAATTGTTAGAAAGATGTGAGGGTATCAGATGCACGTTTTTAGCGAAACTGTGGAGACCAATAAGACTTCTCAGATGTCTAAGGAGCATAACTGGGAGTTCGGTCAGTTGAGCAAGCCCGTGAGGCTATTTCGATGTAGGTGAGAATGAATTCAACTAGAGGAGAAACAGTGGACAAGTAAAACATCGCCAGATTGCTTGCGACCAGAGTAGTTGTTAAGTCTCGAAAGGTCACCAAGGTTCAGTACGAAACCTTTCAGCTCAGGGGCTCCTTCTGTGGCTGTCATGGGCCGAACGGTCATAACTGCACAGGAAGTCAGGTTTGCGCTTTTTCTCGCTGGACTAGTTGTGCGCCTCTTCATAATTTGAAGTATGCACAGGGATATACCGCCCTTTCTCTCCGGAGATACCGGCCAAAAGCTCTTTTTCGGGACAAACCTTGGCAAACAATAGAGGCCACATTGGACCAATCAGAAGTGGCCATTTAGAGAGTGCTCTCTCCAGAGGGAGATGAGTGCATTACGATGTCTTTGGACGTCTATCAGCATTAGATCAACCGGTTTTCTCCGTGAGCACTTTACGGTGGTTTCATTTTGCACTCATAAACTGAAGATTGGTACAATGATACCTCAACTGAGTCACTTTACAGAGTTTTCATCACCCTGTTTTCTCACATTTGTCATTTTTATTTGGTGAGTCCTACTTTTGACTGTTGTGAAGAAAACGAGGCACATGGCTAACAGACCGGTCTCTAAGTTTTTGTCTTGCGCTATCCCGAGCTCGGTCCCTGCTACACCGCGCTTTTTGGCGTTATCGTGGAGTAACTGTTCATATGGCGCACATTTGCATTAGTTCAATGAGGCATGGAACAAGCTAGATGATACCTTATTTGATTTGCTGGTCCAGTTAAATGAAATCTCGGAGCAGTACTTTTTTTCGAAAAAATAGGCCATGAA